AGCTAGGAAAAAACTTAAACTGGGGCGTCGGTATTTTAGGGGGGGGTATAATAATGCATTTAAATAATCAAAAAATGATTAAGTTAAATAGAAAAAAATTATTCATGTTTTTAGGGGGCAAAACTACTATTTATGTTTTTTCGGTCAGGTTCGGGTTTGGCATTTTCGGGCTGCTTTGTTAAGCATGGCTTGGTCCGATCCGGAGTATGATCGGGTCTCTATTGCATAGTTTAAATAATTTCTTAAAGTGTTTTCTAGTAAATGGAGTTATGCATAAAACATGAGTTTATATACTACACTCACTTTTATCGTGGTACGAGATATTATCATTCTAGAGGTTCACATGAGCGGAAAAGAAGATCATTGTACTTGAGGTATATGAACTTGCCATGTTTATTCACTTTAGTCCATCAAATTTGTAAAATGTAATGTCTAGTCCATGAACTTGGCTCATGGGTTAATTTTTATCTAGACTAAGCCGGTTAGAAAGAGCTACATGGGTTGGGCAATTGCTCCGATAACAAATCTCCCAGTCTAAAGGATGACCAGGGATGTTCACATAACACATATACACATCTAATATATACATGTGTTCCACCACTTTGATGTTCACATAACACTACACATTAAATACAACAAAGTATAAACATATAACTTTGCAATGTCACAGCAATGTCCTTCAGAACATTTGACCCTTCGGCCATTCCCTTCCCTTGAGAGTCAAGTTATCAATGACACACCACCTCGTGGATCCGCATTTTTTATGGTGAGGAAAGGTGTTCTACTCAACTTCGTCATCAAACAGTGCCCAGCAGTGCGCAAATCCACGAGGCCGTCTGGAAGTATTGCGGGCACTTGAAGCATCTCATCGCACAGTAGCCTAGCGATGCGCAAACCCACGAGCAAGCAAGTTCATTTGGACGGATATGCATAGTATTGTTGATTACTAGCTGGATATGCATAGTGTTGTTGATCACTAGCAAAACTGCGTAGTGTTGTTGATCACCAGCCGGACATGCATAGTATTGTTGATCACCAGCCGAATATGCATAGTTTTAAAGCCGGATGTGCATAGTTCTTGTTGCCCACTAGCTGAATATGTATGCATAGGTCTTGACAATTGTTTTATTTTGTAGCCACCCCGTGTGTGTACGTTCAAAAATTTGGAGAAGATAAACTTCACCGTCATGCATTCTTGGTTGAAGTTGAATAGGCAACCCAAGTGAAGCCTATTCATAGCCAAGACCGCCGTCCAAGCCACCGAGGAAGAAACCGGTGATCCAGCCGACCCAACAAAGGAACCGCCAAAGAAGATTAGAAGAGGGTTCCGGGGAAAGAAGTGGGAGGAGGAGAGGGCAAGGCGAGAAGGTGCAGCTGCCAAGTTGACAAAGAAGTTCGAGGACATCTTGTCAAAGAAGAAGGAGTCATACGTCAAGCGGTCCGACATCAAGGAGGAAAAAAAGACAGAAAGGTTCAAACTATTGATGGAGGCGGCCGGAAAGAAACTAGCACTCAAAGAGAATAGGACCTTGATCAAAGAGAACAAGGCCATGCCCGAGGAGAAGAAGGCGTTGCTCGAAGACAAGAAGGTGCAGATAGCAGCCGATGCGGAGGACACCAAGATGTTGACCTCGAATTTGGACGCTTTGGATGCCGACACAACAATAATCGTGCAAGTTGTCCGCTACAAGATGTTGGAGCGGCAGAAAGATGACTGGAGGCAGCGGACAAGGATGAGATGGATGCGGCAGAGGAGGAGGAAGCATAGGATGGTTACACGGCGCCGATAACACCTTGAGCATGGAAGCTCGAACTGCCGGTCCAGCAGGGCAGAAAATCTAATTTTCTGCACGGACTACCGGACTGATATTCTTTTATGGTCGGGCATGTAAAAACTACATAATACTTGCCTCTTTTCGGGTGTGATGTGATCGGGCATGTGATTCGATGCTGCTGTGATCCGATGTTCGTATGACCCGGCACGCGTATGGATAACACTTATTTGAATTTTAAATTGCCTTTTACTGACGGACACATACAAGACAACGTTGGATGGTCGACTCGGCATTAGTGTGGTCCCCTGTTCGCGGACCGAGGCAGGAGCAAATGCCCTAACCATTCAAGTTTTATCATTCCAAGAGTTGTCACGTCTCACAGAGTTTGATACAAGGCACACCAATACAAGGGCACTTGGATTTGGATATTTGCTTCAAGGATACACGTGGTGGTCGCTGTGCAAGGCAAGCGACTGTTGCGAGTTGCACCTTACATTACTTACTGTAAACAGTGTCATCCCCACCACGCCCGGGATCACGGATGGTCCTTCAAGAAACCAAGGAGGAGCTCGTTAACCTGCGCCGGGAACTGCTCCTGCACGAAATGGCTGCCCTCCGGGACGAAGGCGACCTTGAGGTCAGGCGCGAAGCCGGCCATCATGCCGCCCCTCACGGCGGCCTCGAACCCCGGCAGCTTCATCACGTAGTCGTTCTCCCCCATCACCATCAGCACCGGCACCTCGAACCTGGCGTCCAGCTGGGTCGCCATCTTGTCCAGGGACCCGTAGGGCATGCGGATCGGGAACCCGAAGCCGGAGTTCTCGTAGAGCGCGGCGTACACGTCGAGGTCCTCCTCCGTGAACCACTCCGGCAGGGGCGCGGAGCCGTCGGCGAGGTCCATGGTCTCCTGGCCTTGCTCGGCGACGGGGACCTCGCTGCCGGAGAAGAGCACGTAGATGGTGCGCACCACGCGCCGGATGTCGTACCGCCCGAAGTCCGCCTCCGCCCGCCCCGGCTGGCGCCACCGCAGCGGGTAGAAGCCCTCCGGCATGGTGCCGGCGAAGTCGAAGGGCACGGAGCTGAAGGGGATGCCCAGGCACGCCACGGCGCGGGTGCGGCCCGGGTGCCGCAGCGCGAAGTCGTACGCCGGCATGGCGCCGAAGTCCTTGCCCACAACGAACGCCTGCGCGCACGCACGCACGCACGCACCGAGGAATGAGAACAAGAAGACGACGGTCACTCATGGACGCTTGGGTTGGGGCCATGCTTTTTGTGGATGCTGCTTACCTTGGGGATGTCGAGGGCGTCGAGGATGGCGAGCACGTCGGCGACGAGGTCCTCCCAGGAGGGCTCCTCGTGCTCCGGCGGCTGGCCCGACAGGCCGTACCCGCGGCTGTCCGGCGCGATGGCGCGGTACCCTGCGGCGGCCACGGCCTGCATCTGGTGGCGCCACGAGTACCATATCTCCGGGAAGCCGTGAAGGAACACCACCGTCCCAAGCTCATCTGCAAGTGCAGATCAACACAAAGCATGCACACAGATCCATTAGCTGCTCAATTGCCCTGCAGCCCTGCTTACTCCATTGAATTTGGTGGGCTCGCCGGCCTGACCGCCATGGCTATGCCAACAAAAAAGAAAAGTCCCTCACCCTTTCCTACTTGAGCAACGTGCAGGCTGAGGCCGCGGACGGAGAGCTGTGTGTGCTCTATCTCCTGCGCCATTACTGCTCCTTCAGACCTCCAAGGCGGTGTGATCGATGCTTCTCTTTTATATGCACGTAGAAAGAAAGAATATTCTCTTTCCTGGATATACAGAGATGGAGCATACCGTTTTTGGCTTCCTGCAGCTCTTTGGCTTTTTTTTTCTAGACTAGACTAGAGGCCGGCTACGAACATAGTAATGTAGCATAGCACGCATCGATGGAATCGACAATCTAGCGTAGCCAAGGCGGTGTGATCTTAATTGCTTATTTTGTTGTGAAGGTGAGACTAGTAATCACCTTTTCTTTGAATGTGTTGTTGCTGTTGAGATGTGAGAAAATATACATAATGTTGTTGGGTGTATGCCCCAGCCTGGTTTAAAAAATGTGGCCGACAAATGGGAGAAACACAAATTCCTACAAGCTGAAAATATGCTCATCTCAGCTACTCTCTGGGTTATCTGAAGAAGTAGGAATGATATGTGTTTTAATAATGTCCCATGGATGGGAGTGCAGGTGATCCTGAGGAGCAGTGGCGGAGCTACATGCAATGCTGAGGGGGCCATTGCCCCCCCC